AAAAAAAAAAAATAAATAAAATACGTCGACGATCAAGGGAATCGAAATCGGTAGAGATTTGGGAGCCGAATATTTTGGAAATTTCTTGGAACCAACTTGCTGAACTTCATTGGGAGAAAAATCTACTCGTCACGTAAGATCGACGATTAATTTTGAGCTATTTGTTTACTTGGACGTTAAAGAAGACTAGTCAGGAGTTGGCGGGAATATTTGAATGTTATAAATCATCAGTCAACCAAATGCCGTAAGACAGTTAGCGTGTCGACAGGTAACTTAATGGTGGGAATTTCAAAATTACATGGTTGTCAGCATAAGTTATTTGAATATTTTGAAAGTTTTTTTTTTTTTGAAACCAATAACAAAAACATTTTTCCCTGACATTCTCGATTAACCATTTTCACTAGAATTTCGAGAATTTCTTGACTTTGGGAATTACAGAAATTCCCCGAACGCAAATGACATTTCAGCTAATTCGGTACTAATAGATATTAATTGATTTATCTTGTAAAGGATAAATATTTTTTGTCTAGATATTTTTTTCTGTTCGTCAAGCGAAATAATAGTCATTGGTCAGGGCATCCTTTCAGAAAGTTTTTTTTTTGACTTCTTTCCGATATCCTCTAGTATCGACACTTTTTCAAAATTCATCAACCAGACTGTCAACATTTTTTCCATTACTTACTGTCCGGCGCAAATGGTACCTATATGCTGTTATTTGATAGGACGCCAGGTGACACTGAGATGCGCCACCGTCTATCCTACTATCGAAACGAAAAAAAAAAGAATTAGAAAAGAGAAAACAAGAAAAAAGGTAAAAAAACTCGTGGGAACTTTCTATCGAAATTTACGAAGCTTCCCGCTAATAAAACAGTCTGACCTCGGCGCGAATCAATATCCCCTATTTGACCATGTGCATAAGACCGAAAAGAGCATTAACGTTGATTTATTATACTGTGAAAAAACCGCAGCGGTAAAATTGGTCATGGGACATTGCCAGATTTTCATTGGTAATAGAACAAAATTTATATTACACCTGAAATAGTAAAAAGAACACAGATCAGGAAATTACCCCAAAAATTCCTACAGACGTAAATATATCGACCAAAAAGAAGCTCTAATTTATAAATAAAACCCTTGAAATTTCAAATAAAATCGTCCGCTTACCTCGCACAGTCTGTATGGCCATAAGATAAATCTTATATTTAATATATTTCCCAGCGCAGATCGCCATACACCTATTTTACAGCGTAGCGAAGCACATCGAATTTCGTACAGTTTTCCGCATCGAATTTGAAATACGACGTTGTCCATCCAGATGTCCCAGCATTCATCCCTACCACCATCCACGTTCACTCCCAGGAATCCAAGCATACTTTTTTCGTATTTTCCTTTTTTTCTTTTCTTTACCTACGATCAAAGTGACTGGAGAGCAACCGATACCTGATCAAGAGAGAAAGATAAGGAGCAGCGCCATTAATAACGAAAGGGGAATCATGATTGAACTGTAATCCGGTATGAGTCAATGCACCAATCGAATTCAGACGCAATAATTTTCTTACCGACAATGCCTATGGCCATAAAAGAGCCACCGCGATACGATCTTGCCGTTTTTACTTACAGCTTGCCTAATTCGAGAAACGTCACTGACCCGCTCCCGTCGCTTTTGTCAATTGCTCGGCAGCTGACAGGTCGGCCATTTTTATCTAGTTCGAATAGCCGCCGCTAGATGTCGCCACCCGAGTACTTACCTTAAAATGGTTTGACGAAATCTAAATCAGTTTCACTCGAACTTTAAAGCCACCTTATACATAGCTGGGTATAGTTGAATTTCGTTTTCAATTAGCAATAAAATATTTTTCATTTGAAAAATACTTCAGTGACCTTCCATTAGTATGTACACTTGACTTACGACATTTAGAAAAGATTAAATTTTTATTTGCACGGAAATAGGATAACATACATATATACGACGCGAAAGGATGTATTTTTTAAAGGCAGCTATGGTTACGCTGTATCATTGTTATTATGAATCAAGATAAGTTTGAAAATAAAAGACATAATTGCGTGCTCCTGCCTTAAGCCTCGAGATTAGTCTATGAAAAATGATACTGGCCAACTGCTTTCGTCCAGTGGTAATAAGCCAACGTTTACTTCGTGCCTCACGTGTTTTAATTATAAAGTTACTATTAATTAATCACTCCGTACGGAGCTTATCAATTTTATATAAAAACAACTGTGATCTGACCTTTTTTTTTTACTGTATATTATCTGCACTGGATTCGGTTGGGTATTTGAAGTAAATCATTTTGTCATGTTGAATCGGTTATAGACACAATCCTATGGATACAGTGACATATGGCGGACAGTTGGTTACTTCGTGTACATATGCGCGTATGATGATGACGTCAAACACGGAATTGCAATCCCGCATCGGGAAACGGTTATATGCATTTCCTTAGGGCTTCTCTGATGGTAATAGAGGGAGGGAAAAAAATTTAGGGCGAATAAAAATTTTTGCATTTCGATGATACTCGATTTTGGAAATGAAAAGAGACTTTATAATCACCCTGTGTAACCTCGAAGCGTCTGGCAAAAAATTTTAAGTGGCCATGCCAGCCGCAGCCTGTATGCAGAATAAGCCGCAATTAACGGGCCAGACGAAAATGTACGTAGACAGACGGCGGCCATTATGAAAAATGGCGGACTCTTACGAGAGAGTCTGGTTTCCTCTCCTTTCGTCCAAGACACTTGGCTTAATTTTAATTTACGTGTGTAACTTGTGTTGTCTGGTAATAAGAACTACGAGGTGGTGAAAGTAATTAGATTTTTTTTTATAATATTTAAATCTAGGGAAAAATTGACGGAATCACGTGGATTTTCGGGATTTATGATTTACAAAAAATTAGGAAGCGCTTAGGACCTCTCTTTTTTGGATTTGATAACTGAAAAGAATTTTCGAATTTCCCACGGAATTTTAACCGTGTACAATTCTTTTTACGTAAAACGGCAATTTTCGTTACGACCGTATCAGCCTCAATTAAGTGTCCCACGTTTCTGGTTATTTAAATAGACTAGGAAGATACTTGTAATTTTAATGAATTATTGTCACGTTAGCCTCAATTTGCGCAATGGCAAAATAAGTTAATAACCCAAGAGAGTTGAAAACTCGAGAATCGGTTTTAAATAGAGGATTCAAGGAAATTAATTTATCGAAAATTTTAATTGCAGATTCTAATCAATCAGTGACAATCATTCTTTCCCACCGCTTGTTTCATTCAGTTTTTAGTCGAATTTTCGTATTTTTGTCTACTCAAAAATTCATTCTATACACAGTACTTCAGTGTGTCGATATTTTTCACCAGCATATACATATACATATACATATATATATATTTTTTTTAATTCACTCCTATTATATTTTTAAATTTGTATAAATTTTTCCCAAACAATGCATATTCTTCTAAAACTCGTGCCCTATCGCGAAGAATAATTTCGGTAGCGTTTTACAAATTTCCATAAGGAACATTGATCGTCCAGAAAGGATTTTCGCTGCTGAGTAGTTTAGCCGGCCAAGCTGGTTCTCATAATCCGTTAGTACATCCCTGCAAGGTTCTCAGGCAAGAAATCTCTTTCTTTTTTTCTTTTTCTTTTTTTTAGTAACAAAGAACTAAGGGGAAGCTTACTCGAATCAAATTTATATTCTTGCCGGGCATCTTCGATGCGACCACGAGGGAAGGAGAAAATTCTGGTCGGCGATCGTGGCCGTTATTCTTGAACGACTCGGTCGATAACTTGCTAGTACGAAGTATAAACCGGTATTATGAACTACATGTGTAGTGGACGCAGCAATAAAATAGTAAAGACTAAGAGTTTGTTTTAAAAATGCCCTAGCCAGCGAAGATCCTATCGAAGGTCTTATTGAATTAATTAATCGCTATGATAATTAATTAATATTTTATTTTTTCAGCACGCCTGCTTACGATTACGCGCCCAATCCGGACAAACAATGGATTCTCCAAGTGACGCAAAGGATGCAGCCCATACACAAGCAATTCACTGATCTCTTGATGACCAAGAGACTTCAGACACTTCAGAGCGTGGACGCGGCTGTCGACAGAGTAAGGCTAACAGTAAAATATTTATTAGTGTAAATTTTTTTGATTTCTAAAAAATATAAAAATTTGAGAAAAAAAATCATACTTGAACTTTATGTCGTGGATCTTAATTTTTTTTTCTTCTTCAAGATTTATCAAGAACTCAAAGACTTGGGTGAACTGGACAATACGTATATCATCTACACCTCTGACCATGGCTATCATCTGGGTCAATTTGGATTGATAAAAGGAAAAAGTTTTCCATTCGAATTCGACGTGAGGGTACCATTCCTAATCAGGGGACCTGGAATCGAGCCTGGCTCTGTGTAAGTTATTTCCAAAGTTTTTTGATAGTTATATATTTATATGTATCAAGTATAAATTTCACATTGTCCAGATTAAGCGGTACTGTGAAAGGGCGCGAAATTCAAAAGTTTCCATACGCACGTGCGTGACACGTGCGATCGTCGCGCGCAACGGAAAGTGACTGAACTAGAATTACGAAATTTGTGAAAATTTACTGATTTTTTGGGCTGTCCGAAAATACGTTTTCACTGAAATGACAATTTACCTAATTCACGTAATAAACGGGAGACGGATGAAATTTCGTGAAATTAATGTACCAGCATGCGGGGAAGTTGCATGAAAAATGTATGAGTAGACGATCGCAAAAATTCGCGGCGTTCCGCGTGCCGAATTTCGGCGGATGTGAAAAATTTCTTACTTAATCGAGAACAAAAGAGCCGTGTGGTCCCGGGTGGGTCACGGTAATTTATTTCTTTGAGAAATCACCGACACGAGACTGCTTAGCTAGTAAGAAAAAGAGAGAAGAAAATGTCTAGCAATTTGCGAAAGGAGGCGAGAAAGAGAAAGAGAAAAAGAAAAAATTTGCAAAAGCTCCAACTTATATTTAGCCCAGAGGCACATTCGCCACAAGACGTAAACACGTATTAGCATAGCGAAATAGTTTTGCGAATTCGTATCAAAGAGGTCGAGGCGTCTGAAGGACTTGGCAAGATTTCTTGGTAATAAATAGTCAACTTCTCCTTCTTAAGCTCGCTAAGCGCCATTCTCTGACCCTTAACCTAGATGGTCGCTTTGGCTTACGCTTCTACGTGTCTAAAAGCGCGCGCTCTCATAATTTATTAACCACAACTGCTCTATCCGCTTCGCGCTCCGAGATTCTCTTCGTCCCTTTCGTACTGAGTGGTTTGAATAATTTGTTAAATAAAAAATTATTTATAAGCAATCTAATCACCATTAATTACTTTTATCTTGTCTTTCGCATCGTTAATACTAATTGTAAGTGATCTATTGTCATTTTCCAGAGTAGACGACATAGTCTTGAATATTGATCTCGCACCGACGTTCTTGGATATCGCAGGCGTCGAGACGCCACCGCAAATGGACGGCCGTTCGTTTATGCAGTTATTCCTGAAGTAAGTATAAATAGTACATATATATATACACAAATTTCTATTCTTATCGGATATCAAAGATTTCAATGACGTTAACCCGTCAATCTGACACTTCGTATATCCCATTAATCACCACGTGATTTTCTTTTACTTTTCCTTTCAAGTAAGCACGGCCGACGCTCTAAATTAAAATGGCCAGACACTTTTCTCATCGAGTCTTCCGGACGTCGCGAAACACCGGAATCCATCGCAGAGGCCAAAGCACGAGAGGCCAGAAAGCACAATGCCACTGTCACAAAGTTACCGGAAGCTACGTCACTATTCGAGGAGCCAGTCGAACCGGAAGCAGAGGTCGACGTTGAAGACGAGCGCCGAGTCGTTGAAAATGACACAGGAAGTGACCAGGATCTCAGCGACGACGAGGAATTTGACGACTCGGTGGCAGAGGAAACCAGTAAGTCCACTTATAGAAATGTCCAATCTGAAATATTTATTCATCATAGATTATTTAAACTTCCGGATTGACTGACTTTAACTACACTTTGTTTCAGTAAATTCAGTTTTCTCAATTCTCACCTGATAATTCATCATTCGGTAACGACTGATGGTTACTCCAACTCATTTTCAGTATACAGATCCAAGTGTCGATCTCGTATGCACGTATCCATATGACTTCGCTGATTCTTCTGGGAGATAAAGGTTCTTCTTGGTTCCTGCTCTTTGCTCGAACAAAATTTTGTCTTCCATACAAAATTTGGAGCTTCGACTCAGGCCATCAATTTCCATCCCCTTATCAGACTCCTGGTTGTCATGTTATGGGACTGTGTTGAGCCAGATGTTACCAAGTACACGCGTGGCAGCGCACAACACGTGCGACCTCAGGAAGTTCTGTTCTCCATTCCCTTTCTGAAAATTCAAGAACATTAAAGTGAACTAGCACGTTGCGCACTTCACTAGTCTCGACAACCTTATGCCGACGAACAAGTATATTTGAGGGTCAGGGAAAAATTGGTTTTCGAAAAAAAAAAACCTGCTACGAATTGGTTGCTCGGTACATAAATTATCATTTTTCTAGGATATACATGCAGTGTACTTGTTCGGAGTGTCTACTGCCTTTTGTCGGATGCGCTACGAAAAAAATTACCTTTCTGAGGCTAAAGGGATTTTCACTCTGACAGAAGGGATTACCGAGTGACTGGGATTGGATGTATGAAGCATCCATGCAAGTTTTACAGGGTTTTACTTCGAACGGAGAGAAAAGGGACAGAGTTTCAATCCGATTTTCCATTCCCGACGTGGATTTAGGAAAATTTTATTTTACCATGAAAATAGTATGAGCCGACACGAGATTTTATTTGGTGTATATTTTTAATAGAATTTTGTAGAATCTTTTTTTAATCATTTTTTACAGTTTTTATGTACATGTATATTGTCTATGACATTCGACGGGGTATAGAGATAAACACTGATTGCTGGACTGATAGTTATTGATTGGTCATGGTACTGCTGCCGTCATGGATAATTCTGATATTTTGCTGCGTTGTAAATTAATCATGTCCAATTGAACCAAGGTCACGTACAGTTGAGAAAGAAAAATTAATTCAAAATTTTTTTTTTTCAAGATCAAGCATACGCGGACTAATAAAATAATCTAATTTGACATTTAATTAGTCTACTATTTTATGAAACTCGATATATTCTTGCTTATCAAAGTAATATTTAACGGCCAATATATTACACTGACATTCACTTTAACTGGACTCTCGCCCAAATATGGTCAGACCGGATCTACATATTTTAATACCGATAGGATCCGATGGTCGTGTAGTCTCCATTATTTTTTAAGATTTTTTAAAAAGCCTAAGAAAAAAAGAAAAAACCACAGCATTATCACTTACTTTTTTTAAACGTGCTGTAGGGGGTATGCCATAGGCTGTTTACCCATTTTTTAGGGTAATATATGGTAAGTCAATGGAGATCAATAGAAAACGATTTATAAGCTTTGATAAAAAATTATTGGCAATTTTTTTTATGCCATGACCTTGGCACCGACCGAAATTAAATATTTGCAGAAGTCTAGCGCGAAGTGTGATTTTTCGCCAGTGCCAAACTAGCGCCACTGGATCTTGCATAATTTTCGGGTAACGTGATTATTGAAACAGTCTACGTGGACTTACTGACACTAATAATGTTCAATGCGTCACGTATTTTGGCTCTTGAAAGATAAAAATTCATTAAATGGGTACAAAGCAATTGTTTCAAACTAAAAATGACTATCAAAGTTGGTTCAGTGATAATGTGTTATTTAGTAAATATTTTTGGTAACGGTATCACACTGTTTATCCGTGAAAAGAAAAAAAGAATATTATGTAGGAACCAGTCGCACGTCATTTAATTTCTTAGTGAACAAAAAATTGACACTTGTCCTAACGACATCTGTTCCTTTGCAATTGTACAATAATATAATTCTGTGATGCATCATCTATGTTTATAAAACATCAACTGGTAATGTAACTGGTTTCTGTTACAGATCTTGAACCACAGCTGGATAACAGAGTATTGCCAGTCGGTCAAGCAGGGTTCTCGTTCACGTCGAAGCACGAACGTCTGGCCATAGAATGTTCACGACCAGAAGTCTTAAAGAATTGCGTGCCTGGGCAACAGTGGCGCTGCGAGCGCGACAGCGGACGATGGAGGCGTCATAAATGTCGATACGTTCCATCATCTTTAACGCCGCCTTCAAAGGCTTCGAAAAAGTGCGCCTGTTTCACGCCTTATGGTGTCGTTTATACGAGGCTGGAGTCCAATGAATATAACCAAGAAAGATTTGGATTTGAACGTGAGCGCCGAGCTGGAGTATATGGTGAAACACCTAGATATATTAATAGGCGTGGTAAGTTATCTCGAAATTGAGCTTGCGGACCAATCATAACAATTGTTACGCCCATTAAGGGTATCACGTGATCGAGTAGGCGTGGTTTGAAACGAAAAAAGCTCTCGATCGGCGAAAATCTTTGGTTACAGTTACAAATTCAAAAGAAATTTCGGTTAAAATTTTTAATACTCAACATTCTTGTAGAATTATATAAGAGTCATTATTCGGTTAATCGATTAATTTTGCTATATATTGTAATTTTATTGTCAGTGGGCGTGGCTAATGTGTTAGGAAAATGTGGCGGGAAATTCAAAACTGTAAAATAGATTAATTTATCCAGTGGAACAGTTTTATGGAAATGTATCTTTTTTTTTTATAAATAGGCAAGAGGGAATTGGCTGACGAAGACAGAATACGCGAAGAAGTCCGACAAGACTTTGAAAAGGAATTTGATGACTTCGAAGACAATTACGATGATAATCGTGACCGAAGAGCAATCGATGAGGAGGATGACGATGACTTCGCCGAGGAATTGGTCTTTCTTGCGAAGGATCTACAAGGCGAATCTCACCATCTTGATGGAAACCGTTTGAAAAGATTTGCAGAGGACCTAGATCTTGCGACAAATACTATTATCAGGAATAACAAGACACTGTTTCTCATGCCAAAGCAAGGCATAGGCGCTAAAAATATTTATTCTCTACAAAACTATGCGTACAATAAATTTACAAATCATACGAATCGAGAGTCAGAATCGATTTCTGTTGAATTAGACAAAGATTCAGACGAGATTTATTGGAGGGATTATCTAAATAGGATATCAGGTTATACGGATGCTGACTTCGATCCAGTTTTACAAAAAATCGTCAAGGGAAGATTGAACGTGGAGGACGTGATCAGAAGGCATCACAGAATAGCAAAAAGAAGCGCCCCGAAAAAGGATACCATAGACCACGTCACAAAAATTATGGAGAGCATCGAGGAGGAATTAGATGACCTAAAGGTAAAAAAATGTCCTAAATCATACAAATTATTGTCGACGTTATTAATAATGATTGTTATGTAATAATATGCCATTTCTTGTGGCACTCAGGAAACCCATGCTCGACATTCACCGGAATCGACAAAATCATCACCAAAGTGTTTGGTTCTGCCAAAAGGTGGTGTCAATTGTAGTCAAGACGTATACCAGGACCCAAACGAATGGAGAATATCAAGAAGACAAATAGAGCAGCAAATAAAAGAAATGCGAACGCAATTGGAGACTCTCAAGGTGAGTAATAAATATTTGATAAGAATAAGTCAAGTTTGAAATAGTCATTAAAAAATGTATCTTTTAGGAAATCCGTCGTCATCTGATGACGAAACGTCCTCAAATAATAATCGAGAGCGGCGGAGATATTTTGGATTCCGAGGAATTGCCAAAGTCTCACAAAGTTCAGCATCATGGTAGCAAAAATCATACGAGTCGTCATCATCGAAAACACGAGAGGAAACATACGATAGAATCACATTTACCAACGACATTAAATCCGTCAATTGATCAAACAGAAAGCACGAATTTCGAAGAGATATCCGAGGAGAAGATTTTTGAAAATCCAACAACAGAAACACCCTTTCCCACTGTTCCGACGAATCCTGTCACGGACTCTTTGCACACCAGTCAACCTGTATCTTCGAAGAAGGGTAGAAAAGGACCACGAAGACAAAGACCAAAAGAATCTTCTTCCGGTACCAAAACGGAAATCGAGGAGGAAAAAACGCACAGACGTAGAAAAATTCATCATGGTCGCAGAAACCATACATTGTTGACAAACAGCGTTCACGACGAGACGACAAACGTCAATTTGACAGAAAATTTGGAAACTACTTCGCCACGGAAGTCCAGTACGTTAGCCCACAGACATCACAAGAGACCCAACATAATAACTATTTCTAGTATTGAAGTAACAACCTCTGGTAAAATTCCCAATGAAATTGGAGGACATGCCTACGGTGGAGTCGATGGTGTTTCTGAAGGAAATGGTTCAAGTACTGGCACTAGTACTATCATTGCTGCTACTATTAGTACTGCAGCCATTAGTAGTGATACTACTAATGTTACTGCTGCTGCTGTTACTACCATTACTGCTACTACTATTACTAATACTACTGCTAGTACTAATACTATTGATACCAGTCCTGGTACCACCACTGCCGATACTACAACTGATACTACTATAAGTAGTAGTACTACAATGACAACAGTAGCTGGAAGCAGACCAACTACTGTGTCGGATAGCATGAAACTGCCAAAAGCACCAAGAAACAGATCTACGATTCTAGGACCAGCCAGAATCGACGTGATAATTTCGGAATCACCAGATCGTCGAAATAAACAAGGTAAAAGGAAAAGAATAAAAAATTTAATATATTACGATGAAGATTTATTGAATTTTAGTTTTCCTTATTCAATATATTATATAATTTTTCCTAATTAGGTATAACCACGACGAGCAACAACGGGAGACTTCCCCCAATGCTCAACAGTCCCTTTGAGGCTCGTCACAAGTGCTACTGCGAGCCGGACACGTACACGAAGAAAGACGAAAAGGAAATTGCCAAGGAGGAACGACGAAAATTGAAAGAGGAACGTCTTCGCAAGAAAGAAAGGAAGCTCCGTAAGAAGGCGAAACTCGAGAAGGAATGTCTGAGCGAAAAGATGAACTGCTTCGAGCACGACAATGATCACTGGCGCACAGCACCAATGTGGAGTGCGGGGCCATTTTGTTTTTGCATGAACGCAAACAACAATACTTACTCGTGCGTCAGAACAATCAATGCTACGCACAATTTTCTTTATTGTGAATTTACCACGGGTCTAGTGACGTTTTATAATTTAAGAGTGGGTAAGCTGAAAATTGGATTTTATCAATGTAAATGCAAATCAAGAATTTTTATTATATTCCAAGTCTTACAAAAACATTGTTATTCTTTCTTTGTACAGATCCTTTCGAACAATGGAACAGAGTCTCATGGTTAACACCTACCGAAAAGTCATATCTTCACGATCAACTGGAACATCTGAAGGGCTGCAAAGGAACTCGTGATTGTACAGTTGGATCTGCCAGAGAGGCAATTCCGCAGATACAACAGCATCAGCGATATGTCACAAAACGAAAAAACAGTAATACCTTCGGTATGTCTCCCAGCATAGAGAGGAATGAGAGTCTTTTTTTAAAATAAAGCAAATAAAACATGTGAAAGTCAACATACGCATTATTGGTTCTTAGTAAATGTCATCTAGATATTAAGCAAAGATTAAGTAAACTAGCAGAGAATGTTCATGGAGTAAAATTATTTTGGCAAAACAAAAAAATTTGCTTTTGTCGTATAATTAATGCAATGTAACAGATTTTGAGGCATGACGATCAAATGAGAAATTTATTTTTCTCTTTTCTCTCTCGTCTCATTGATCCAGACGTTGTTTAACATTTATGTTTTAGCAACGGACACTTTTGTGCCGTCGGCGTTGCAAATAATTCGCGAGAGCGAACTCGGCGGGGCAGCCAACAAAAGGCGCAAAAAATTTCCAAAGTGAGTTACCAACGAAGAACTACGTGATTGATTTTTCTTCTATTAAAAAAAAAAGTAATAAGAACTGCCATCGTAGAATTTGCAATCCTAATGCGTTGTCCTTTAATGTGCTTTCAATTTTTTTATATATTCAGACTGCTATCTGTTACGTAGTTATTCAGCTTAATTAGTTCTATGAATTTTGAGGAAAAATTAATAATGAGAGAACAAGGCCAAATGGTTTGATTAATTGTTACAGTCCATGGAAGAGACGTAACAGAAGCTGGCAAAGCAGCTGGCGACATCACGAGGAGGCGGTGAATTCACGTCGTCATCATCATCATCGTCATCAAGTTTGAAAATGACGAAGTGTCGAACCAGCGACCACGAAGAATGGGCTACCAATTTATTTGATACTATCCTTTATATCCTGCCATTTTTTTTACTACCGAGTGACCCATTCGAAAATCATCGGACGCACTGACTTTATCTTTGTATCTGGTTGAGGATGCTTGGCTAATGATTCACTGCTTTTGCAGAAATACATTGAGATCGATGATTATTTTACACGTGGGACAATTTTTAGTTTGAAAAACTGTTGTTTTGCATGAAATCACTTTGAGTTGGCGATGCAAGTTATGCCATGCAAAAATGAGAAATTGAATTACTAATTTAAAAAATAATAATTTATTAATATCAGATCCATTGCAAAGACATGGATACTCAAGCTCAAAATTGTGACACTCAGACTGCCGTGAATTGTATGCACCGTTTAACGATTTTGATAAATTCCAGTGAACTTTTTTTTATAGAGAGAATGTAAAATCAAATTGACAAAAAACTAAACCACGACATTTGTATCAATGATAACAACAACGAAACAAAGAAACGAACAAGCTTAAATGGAAATGAAAATCAAAGGCTTTGTTTTTGCTGAAAGCAGATTGTACTTTTTTCTGTAGTTTTTTAATAATTGAACAAAATAAGTACCATCGTATAATAATGGTGTGCTGAAAGGAAACGAGAATTGATTGTTCTTTGATGAATGGAAAATGGAGAAGTAAAAATAAGTAATGACATGACTCAAAAAGAATATATATCGCCATAGGAGGCATTATTGATGCTGCGTTCTTTTTTTTTTAGATAGACACTAAAAGCAAATAACTGAACACGATGCTAAACTTTTAATTATGCCTATATAATGCTGTAACAAGACTGTATATATTCACATACACTTAAATCTATCTAACGATTAATTAATTTCCTTTTAATTGCGCATAATAAGGAGGTAATGGGATGGATTTAAAGAATCTTGTTCTTCTTTCCTTCGAATTTTGTAAACGGTTTCACATTCTCATTCCAAACGCATATATCTTTACTTTTTTATTCCGAATATTTCTTTCCAATATGTTTTTACATGTAAACAATTCAAATTTTCAGATATTTTTACAATAATTCTTCTGATTTAGGAATCGCATTGCAGAGAAAATTGTGTACGAAACGTTTGAACATGCTAGAGATCACACTTGCACAATTGAACGTTCGGTCCACTGTTTTGTTCTCATGATGAGACACGATAGAGGGAATATTTATGCCATTTTATCATAACATTTAGAAGTGTCTATAAAATACAGGCTCGGTAACGCATGAATTATTGGTTACCAATATCAGTTTTTTAGACACACGATACATAGGTTACTAAAGAGTAAGTTATTTATACAGATTTTCTAATAGGAAACGTAGACTTTAATAATTAAAACAATTCTGTAATAGTTTTATGCGCGCTATCAAAGGATTATAAAGTCTTTCTATTTGTGTAAAGTTGCTGTAATCTGTGACTATTCTGTTCTTAGAAAACAGCTGGCTTCTAAACACATTGCGTATCTTTAAGAAATATAAAAACCCTTAAAGTAATAACTACATAATTCAATTAATCCTGTCCACTTTTTTGCCCTAGAAGTACATATAGCTGAGGAAATTTAAATCCATATGAAAAATATGAGACTTGATTAAGGGATAAGAAAGAATATCATTAATTCTCCACCCATCAATTTTCATTATCAAATTTTATAATAATACATAAACTGGGTGTATTTAAGGTATTAAATATTTTTTATCAAAAATACTCAATATGCAAATAAGGTTTTAATATATAGTCAAATTAATTATATGTTACACAGTGTTTAATTTTAGTTAACAGAATCTTCCCTCTCTGCTTTGTTTAAATATTTACTCCATTTACTTTCTGGAACTACTGAACTTTGCATTTGATTATGTGTTTCCAAAGATTTGCTTGGAGCAACAGCACAATCATCTTCTGAAACTTCAAGATCATGGCTTTGTATATCATTTTCCCATTGTGTTGCATTACTTTTCAAAAGATTAGATTCTTGGACGTAAACACGACAATCTTTTCCTGTTCCTCGATAGTATACCTATATACCACAAATCAGAAATTGATAACGAAAACAGTTCTCATTAGTAAATCTACTAATTTACCGATTTTCACAAGTAATTCACAAATTTTAAAGCTCTAATAACTTCTTACTTGCTTGATAGACTGCTTTTCACCACAAACTTTGCATTGCCACTTGTTAGCCTTTTTAACAGGATGAACCTAAATTTCAATGATACATAAAGTTTCAAAAATCCTGTTATAAACCTTTTAATACTACTCACCTGAAACATCTGACAAGAATAACAACACAATACGTTCATTGCACTCGACATCTTCTAATTCTCAACAAAATTACAGATAAAACTTCCTCGTTTGCAAATCTTTTGCGTTTTAAATGTCAGTTACACCGAATTCACCGGGAAACAAGTTTCAATTTTCAAATCCCTACGTCTATTACAACACACTAACTGAGTCAGGATAAATGTCGGTAAGAACTTAATCGGGATAAGAATATGAAACATAAACCACCGCCAAAAATCTTGATATGAATAACGACTAAAATATTAGTTATAAAATGTGGAAATAGTTATAATAAATATAAATTACAAATCTTTATTGAGTACGTCACCACCAAAATTTTTTCAGAGATGAGTAGGGAAATGCGCAAAGCTACGCCAGTGATAAGTAGGGAAATACAAAATGCTACGTTTTTAGGCTATACCAAAATCATGGCGCTAAATAGTAACAGCGAGGCTGGAAGTAAGATTTTGTGACCACCGCCTCCGTCGACAATGCAAATCCCGCCGTGATCAAGCTAACCGTGAACACCGACGCGTAACTTGGCGGGCAGAGGTTCTCCGCTACTCACCGCTAATTCCCAAAGCAACCCTTGAAACGAGAACGGAAATTATAGAACTTCTCAAAAACTATTGAAAAAGCATATGGTTGAAACATCTTTAAGACATTTTTAAGAAAGTGCGGTGCCAACTTGACACCCGTGCAGTATGTATTATTGGATCTTAATTTACTTTCAAAATTTATAAAAAATTAAAAATTGAGGCTAATCAAAATCTCGCAGAATATACGGAGTAGATAAAAATTGAATTGAAA